CATACTCTCACCAATATAGGATCTCTGAAAACTTTTATAAATGATGACGCTTTTAAAGCCATTATATTGCAGCTTATTTAGTTGCCTTGCTAGTTGCTACAAATGTGGGTGGTGAAAAACTGAGTTCACTGGGATGGGACATGATGCCATGGACATGATTGATTTGATTTCCGGTATTTTCCGCTCTGCTTTTAGTTTTGAAATGATGTAATCATAATATAATGAGATCAGTGAAATGAGGTATGCTTTTCAAATACAAAATTCAGGTCTTGGGGGACCTATAGCCTTTTTTCTTTTTCCCGCCAATTTGCTATTGACGACTGCTTCGCAGCGCCAGTGGATATATCAATCATATTCGTAGTCGTAAAAGACATAAAATGGACATTTTTGTACGAGAAAAGCTCGAGGAATGGAATCTCTCATCATTGACTGATATATTGGAAGGTTAGTGTTTAGTTTCTGTCGATATTTCATATGTATAAGCGAGTTTTAAGCGAAAAAATATAACAAAGCCCGATACGTTTTTCGAAACTTTGAAGTTTTAACACTGTAAAAAATACCTAAAGTAATAAATATATTTGTACGAAAGAGGCTAGAAGGATGAACGTTTTCGAAACTAATTGGTATATTTGAAGTCTAGATATTTGTTTCTGTCGATATTCAATTTCAATTGCCAGAATATCTAGAAAGAAAACAATGTCAAAGCTAAAGATATATTAAGCGTCATATTATGGCTTTCTACCGTACCAAGTCGCCAAAAAACAACTTAAATATTGACATTCAGACGAAATTGATATATTTGTACGGCGAAAGCGTAAAAGCTATCTCAGTGTTGTCTTCACGACTTTTAATAACGCCTTAAAATACCTTTTTGGCAGAAAATATGATAGACGAAGAAGCGTTTATGTTACTTAACGAAAGCGTTTTAAAAGAAATGAACTTGCCAGTTGGGCAACGCATCAAGGCTGCAGAAAAAATTACAAGAACTTCAGGTATTTTCCCTAGCAATATATTTTCCAATGCATATTTCATAATTAAACGAAATTAGCTATTTGACAATTTTTGTTTTAAGGAATCGATTTCTGCATATTGAAAATCAACATGGAGATATGGCGGGAGGAGCAAATGACGATGATGATGTCGATCCTGTTGATCTAAATCTTAATAATAATATTAATGGTATTGAAATACCGAACCCAATACCCGCTGCTCCAGTCGAAGGTCAAAGACAACTTGACTATGCACAAGATGTTACAAAGACAGCTGCAATTTTTCTTGCATAAATGAAAGCATCAAGTAGCACTGTGCAGTCAACTGTTGACCATGTTGTTTCCGAGACTTCAAGTTTGTTTTCCGATGTTATCGGTTCATTGAAAGCAAAAACTGAGCAATTTTTACAGGGACAAAATATCAATGATGAGATTAGTAAAGAAAATCTTCTTCATGAATTTGATCAACTTCAAAATCCTTTTGAACGCTTGGAAACTGCACAAAACAACAAAAATATTTTTGTGAGAGTGGTTATTATGTCAAGCCGCGCGAGATCCCATTGGGTATTGCATATTATCCTCGAAACAACCCTGAAACAGGCCATGTCGACCAAATTGCCAAGCATTTAACATTTCAGTACGTTCCAATCTATGAGCTCTTGAAATGTGTCTTGGAAAGTAAGGGTTTCATTAGGGCAATTTTACAATATCATCCAAGCACCGATGGTGTAATGCGAGACTTCCATGATGGACTCTTTTGCAGAGAGCAAATTTTTTTTGCAGATCCAAAGAATATCAGATTGCTGCTGTATGTAGATGAGTGCGAGATTGCAAATCCACTTGGCTCCAAGGCCGGATTGCATAAAATAGGCGTTATATATTGTACCCTACTCAATATTCCTCCAAGGTTTCGTTCATCCCTCTGTAATTGTTTTTTGATTACATTATACAATGCTTTGTAAGCAGTACGGATTGATCCCATCTTGAAACCAGTTGTCGATGACATCACCTTACTCGAGCGAGAAGGTCTATACATTGATTCTGAAGATTTTAAAGGCGTTGTACGTGTTAGTGTTGCACAGCTTACAGGTGACAACTTAGGGGTGAACGGAATACTTGGTTTTGTCGAAAGTTTTGTCAGCAATCATTACTGTAGACATTGCAAAATGCATAGAAATGAAATGCAAACCAGCCCAACTGCACGTCCTAACCAGCTTCGGAATGTTGAAAACTATGAAGAAGACTTACATATAAACGATCCAGGTGCTACAGGCGTGAAAGCACCTTGTCTTTTAAACGAAATTCAACACTTCCACATTTACAAACTATGCACCTGATGTCATGCATGATTTGTTAGAAGGCGTGTGTGGTGTAGAGGTCCACCTTGTTTTGGCAAATCTAATTGGGGAAGGTCTATTCGATTTGGATTTACTAAACAGTAGAATTACTAGTTTCGACTATGCCACTACAGATTCAAGGAACAAACCATCGTCAATAACTATCAACAAACTGCAAAACCCAGATAGTGCATCGGGACAGACGGCGTCACAGATGTGGTGCCTTATTCGGTACCTGCCGCTGATGATTGGTGATAAAGTACCTGAAGGACACCAACACTTGGAGCTTCTACTTCTATTATTAGAATGCATGGATTTTATCTTTTCTCCTCAAGTCACCACTGAAGAGACTTCTTTTTAAAACATTTAATCAAGATCACCATGAGCATTTTTTGGATTTGTTCCCAGGTCGTACTCTAAAACCTAAACACCACTTTATGACACACTACCCGGAACAAATGCGTTTGCTTGGTCCGTTATTACACTATTGGACTATGCGTTTTGAGGCCAAACACCGTTTTTTCAAGCGGTTAGGCCATATTGTTTGCAACTACAGAAACATTTTGAAAACATTGTGCTCTAGACAACAAATGTATCTGTGTTACAACATTATCAGTGGCAAAGACCTGGTCGAAAGGGATGTTGAAATAGGTCCTGGATCAATAGAAATTGTTGCTTCATTAGAGAGAGCAGAGTTTTTAAGCAGAACATTAGGGATCCGTTTATTCGAAGAAGTTTACGTTGCCAAATGGTCAATAGTTCATGGTATCAAATACTGCAAAAACCTCCTAGTTGTAACTGGGAAGTCTGATTATTTGCCTGTATTTCAGAAAATTATTTATGTCATGGTCACAGAAAACAGCAGTGTTAAGCTAATTACGGAGGAATGGCTTACCATCCGATATGACAGACACACACACACATATGTTATTCACCAACCACATGCAACTTCATGGTCTATGGTCTCCGTTGACAACTTATATGATTATTACCCGTATCATGCATCCAAGTCTTACAACGAGGGTGACCAACACTCCTATGTTGCTCTTCGTCACAGAATTCACTGAAGTATCTATGTCATAATTTTAACCAAAACGTAACTTCTTTTGGAAATGGACCACTTGCATAATAGACCAACTTCAGATCAGGTGAGAAGCAGGAAAAAAAATAACCACAGCTAAAAAGAGCATACCAAAATTAGTAAAATTGCCAAGTTTGGTTGCAAAATCTCAAGTAGTACGGAATATATAGCCATCCAAAGTTGCCAATTCTGTATACTTTTTTACAACGACTGGAAGCGTGTAACTAATACTACACACGTCCGGCCGTAATACAAAAGTATACAAAATTCGCCAACTTTGCATGGCTATATCTTCGGCACTTTACAATATTTCACAGTCAAACTTGACAAGTTTTGTATGCACTTTTCGGAAATTCCCTTTTTGTCACCTGAATCAAAAGTTGGTCTATTATGCAAGTGGTCCATTCTTGTCAGTTTTCGAAATTCTTGCAAACAACTTAAATGACCTACGTCACACAAGTTTTTAAGAGTCTCAACCATCAATTTTCTTAAGCAAAATATAGTTCCCTCTAGGATATTACATTATTTCGTGCATGTTAGGCATTGCGCAGTAGTTTGAGAGGTCTGAGACAGGAAAGCTAACATTTTTTACAAGAGAAGTTGCGTTGCATAACTAAAAAAATTATGACAAAGGTACTATACCCCAGGATGGAAGACAATATATACTGAAGAGGTGATTGATCGATTGAAATGATACACTAGTAATATAACATTTCCAAAAGGATTGTTATTATTATTCATCCATTAAAAATTATTATTGTTACATTCTATGGGCATGACGAAATTCACACTGGCTCCCTTGATATACTAATAGATATATTTATCATTTTAGACTGCTGAAAGGGGGGGCACAGAATGTGTTGTTTTGGCATCTTCAACTCCTTCAACTTCCAAAAGAGGAGATGACACGAAACTGCAAACCACCAAGAGACCTCTAAATGTAACCTTAAATACCGAAATACTTGGAGACACAAACTGCGCTCGACATGTTAAAAAATCCAAGCATGACTTTGTAAGTGGAAACTAGCATTTTAAGTTTACACTATTACTCTTACTTCTAATTTGGTCATAATTCTTTACAATGTACTATGTTTATTCCATTAAGAATGTCAGATCAATTCTGAAAGGCAGTACAGAAGGTGATGCCATCCTGACAGAACTTGATAGAGGCGAATTGAGCAGGAAAAAGAGGATAAAAATGGTCCAGATACTTGTTGCTGATATTATTGCAAATTATGGAGACAGGTTAATATTTTATGATATCCAAAAAATTATAAGGCCAGAGTGCAAGTAGACGAGATTTTTTAAACATGTAAACAGGAAATATATTGTCAAATCAAAGGAGCGGTATTTTTTATAAATTAGGCCAACAGCAGAGGTGAAGATCAGCATGGCAAGAGAAATAATAACAGAATTCCCTGTTTTAAAAAATGACGAAGGTTGTGGCTATGTAAGTTATTGAAGGGGTATAGAGTTGAAAGCCACAGCAGCAATATAATTGCATGTACATATTTTATGCATAGCAGTACAACCTGTATGATCAGTATTGTAACATATTGCTGCTTGTTTGTATTGTACACAAACGTACTGGTGAATCTATCTTACTGTGTTATTAATCACCAATATAGAACATAAATTTGTGAAGCAATTAAGGCAGATTTGTAGCAAGTTCAACAAGAAAGCTACTTTTTTAAACCTATAGTCTAATATTTTTAATATCAATGGAGAATAACCATTAACATTTTTCTTAAATGCGCCTTTTAGGAAGCATGGTACACACCTGGGAAAGGTATACACTCCGCCACTGGTTGGCTGGAAGAAAGGCTAAGAAATGTACGAAAACGCAGCAATGAACACAACCCAATTAGACAACCAAAAATCTCTACACCTTCAAATCTAATAAGTTCAATAACAGCATTGCCAGGTACATCAATATATAAATGCTAGCAACTATACTTGGCAATTGTGTATTTGATCAAATTGCTATTTTACTAATTGCTCATTCTCAACCTTAAGCAGAATCCACTACAACCGAAAATGAGCACTTAGGAATGAAAGAGTGGCTGAAACAACATACTGAACCAGTCTCAACTGTAAATGCATACATGAAGAGGACTGTTCTTAATCGAGCTAAGTGGATTAGGGAGAACTCAGAATTACCTATACGTGGCATTATACTCGAATATCCCAGACTGTTTGACACGCCAGGCATGGTAAATCATGTACTGTAGTACGATAATTATATATTATTATGTAACATAAATGAGCAAGTGCAAAATGTATTCAAATGTGGTATCAGTTATTACTGATATTATACCTTAATCTTTCTTGTTAGGTTGAAATGGATTTCAAATGTCTCTATCCAGATGTGGCAGAGAACCTTTTTCTTAGGTTGGTACCTGCTTTTGTTGAAAAGATGTTGACATATGCAGATTTACAATCTGGAACGAAGTGGATATGATACCTAAATGTCATTAGAGAAAATTTAATATCTGGTGAGCATCAAATTGGTTATATTTTACCCTCTCTACCAGACTAATTGCTTTACATCTCATTTTTACATATTCTTACTTTGAATTGGGGTCAGCAGTAGAAGATGTTTGTACCATCAACTGTTTGTCCCAAATTTCAATACCTATCAAAAACCATATCAGCAGTCTCAAGCTGCCTGTATATTTAAAGTTTGAGAAATCTTTCAAATTGTTATATATATAGATGAACAGAAGTTGAACATTGCCATCAATCTCCTGCCATGTATTCTTCCCACTGGAAGAAATAATAAAAGAAGATGCAGCATTGATGAAGCAATGAGATCTTTTTTGGATGTTCAACCTGTAAGTCTAACTAGCTTTTTGCTAAGTGGTCAGTCATAAAAAAACAGTCACTCCATGGCATTCATAAGGAATTATAAAGTTTGTTTACACTCGCAGTAGTACTACAGTAGTGGCAAAAGAGTAATTTTTTTACATATAGATTGGCACAAATATGCCGAAGTACCTAGAGGAAGCAAGTCGATCACCGTTTATATTGGTTACTGGTATTCGAGACACTCCCAGTCAAGTTTTTGTTGTAGTTGATGGACAAGGTTTGGAACAGACCAGCCTAGTTAAAGCTGTTGATGTCTGCTTTAAGCTGTTCTACATCTTAGATGTACACTACCCATGGCAGTGTTCTGTTACATGGGAGTTCATACAAAAAGTATTGTATGGAATTGAGGATAAACAGAAAGGAAAGACTTCGCCTGCTGTAATTGCTATGAGGGCTGCAATGAAATAACTTTCTTGTTAACATGCCAACTCATTTTGTTGCATTTGTAAAAGTATTTGTTGCGTGATAGAGAACACTTACCTATTCACTGTAAATACTTTATACTGTTATAAAGCTAAGCATGCTGTTTCTATTGTTTGAACAGCAAACAATTTTAAGAAGTTTATGTATGCATTTTGTATGCTTTTGTTGATATTTTATCATGCTACTAAAATATATTTTTAGTATTATGAAACAATTGTGCTCACCTTTTGATAAGTACGTCAGCTCCAGACATTTAATTTCAGCCCAATTTATAAAAGAACTTCTAGTTTGACCAGCAATTTTTTCATAATGTAATAATCTCGCAGCAGATCGCAGCAGCAACTGCTTTGCAGCATAATTAATTCCGCAACTGGATATTATTGATATTATGCGAAAGCGCAAAACATACTATTTACCAGGTTCCTGGTTACCTTACTTAACAGTTTGACCAACATGACCTGGTTAACTTCAACCAGGATTTCCAGGTCAAAATAGGCTACCAGGATTTCCTGGTTAATTTAACCAGGAATGCGTCGATGGCATATTGATTAATTTCCGGGTCGAGATATGACCCATTCCTGGTTAAATTTAACCAGGATGTTTTTAGAGTGTACCTTTTTATATAACCAGCCCCAGATGATTATTTTCCTGTGTCTATAGTGCCAGAACCCTGTCGTATATATAATAGACAAAAGTACAAAGCTAATGACTATATGTTACCGTAATTACCTAAACTTGGTCATGAAGAAGAAAAATGTTATATCCTTTTACATTTTTTCCCATAAGAGTGGAGTGTGCCCTAAGAATTTTTACTATTATTACGAAAACTCTCTATTATTAAATTCACATGGTGTTTCCACAAACTTACTATAAAACATAAAATTCTCACCATGGAACTTTTAACTTAGTAATATATTAAAATATAAGACACATACATGTAAATAGAAAAATATATAAAACAGTACTTATCATTGTTCAAAATTAAGTTCTTGCAGAAATTTGTTTACAACTACTCTCTTTCTGGCATCTGCTGTCCTCCCCATGATGGTGGCCTCAAGCATGAGATACACATTTCTCAGATTATTTGGATACTCCATGTTGAAGATGTAATATGAAGCCATCAAAATGGCTAAAGCTTGGGAAGATACCATGTTGTTGAATTTCTGCGACAAGGTACAGTGCTGCTATGTCTGCAATTTCTCCGCCTCCAATTAATTGTGGGGCAACAGCCTGTTTAATTACATCATCAATCTATTCATCATCCTAAACAAAAAAATCGCAAAAATTAATGTCTTAATAAGCTCTACTGGAATGGTTTTTACTGTAATGTGCACTTTTTCAACCAAATACTTAAAACCATGAAAAGAAATAATGATGTTAATAATTGTATTTCATAATACGTGCAAAGCAGATCTTAAGAAGTTGGGCAGTCCCTCGGTTCATCAGATGTGGCAACATAATCACTGCTGCTGTATCTTCAATATCTAAATATAAAAAGTAAGATGATTAATATAAATTTAAACTTATATATACACATAACTTTTTATCTTGAAAATGTAAAGTTCCTTATCAAGAGGACAATTAAAAGAAGACTCTATTATCATTGCAAGATTGAAAAATTAAGAGAAAAATGTATACTAAGGAAGATTCTGGCATATTACAAATCATTGTACAGTCACTCAAATATGCTTGTATCACCTGAACAGCTTTAGAATAATAAATGTGCAATACCTCTCTCTCTTTTCCTTGGCAAGTGCCAGCAACTTTGGTTTGAGCACTGCTGTAAATGTCTCACTCATTCTTTTCAGAAGTGTCTTATCCCCCGTAACCCTGCCGAATTCTGACTTGAACTACAAAGTAAACAAAAAATAAAGAATTTTGAGTGACAGCAGACACTAGCTAATGGCAACTTTCCTCTACACAAACAAAATAATACAGTGTTAGCCAAAGATCCTCACACACTGCTGGGAGAGAGCTGTTGCAATAATCTGTAGTGGATGAATCTCAAAAAAGTTAGAATCTACACTTAAGTAACTTACTTCTGAAACTAGCTTCAGAGCAGGATACTCCTCTGTGATGTCCTCAACAGCTGTCGGTTCACTGAGAATTTTCTCCCTCCGGAAAGGGTATGTAACATTAACTCCTTTATCATTAGAACATTCTTGTTGGTTGACTTCAACATCTCTTTTTTCATAGCACTTACATGTTTGCAGCATGTATAGACTGTCTCTCCTTCAGGTTTTTCTGGTACTCTTGCCAGGTTAAGCAATTTCTGAACCTTCTTCGGCTTTATGGTTTCAGCAACTTGTTTTGCTCCAGGTTGTTTAACAGATTGGGGTTTGCTCTTTCTTCGGTTTTTAAGCTATTCTTTAATGCTTGTTCCCATGAGCCCTATGGATTAAACCAAATTAAAAGATTAGTACAAACTGATTGCAATGTTGGAACACTATCATTACTAGAAATTATAATAAGCTGATACACATGCACAATTTAGGATCTAACCAGGTTTAACCATATACTAAACTTTTCATACACTAACTTGTTAAAGGTCAACAACTGGCCTTCATAGCTCAGTGGTGAAAGCACTGCACTGGAGTTGCAGGGCTGCAGGTTTGATTCCTACCAGATGACCTACTGTTGCATTTTTTGTAACTGTTCGTACTGGACTATTAGAGTTAAACTGGACTATAGTCTTAAACTACAGTTAATATAAAAAAGTAATTTACTCATAATATAATGCCCCCTAATAACACTCACAATTCCAGTCCCCAGCTTCTCTGCCAAGAATGGATACTTCCTAATAACCATGAATGCAACATGTTCCCATTCTGACTTGGTAGGATAAAGTGTGTGAGCCATCACTGCAGTAGAAATATCTCTGGTGAAATAATTTCGTTCAGTGCTTGACATTTTTTCAGCTTGTAATGCTTGTGATACATGTGGAGCAAACTGAAATAAAGCAAAACAAAACCAAAAATAACACTTAATATCCCAGCTTCCATCCCTCAATAGTATACTAATTGCTGACAGGAAATGGGAAGGAACTGCTTAGCAATATCCAGCGATACTTGAAAACAACTTTTCCTTACCTTGGATGGTAATTCAAAATGTTGGAGCCACTTTCCATCACTTTTTGTTATACTTGTGGCAAAGCCAGAAACATTGGCATGTGATTTTTCAGTAACATTTGGACTCCCATTTTTAAAATCACTTAGCTGGCTTGATGCTTGTGAGCATGGACTTAATCTTGATGTTGACACCAAAGACACTTTTTGTGGTGTAGACTAGATTGCCAATAAAGGTGATCCTTGGGAGCTTGGAGTTGAGGTTTTAGAACTTTGGGGCTGTGGTGAGCATTGGGTTTGTAAAGGGGAACATTGAGATTCCAGTGGATACACCCCAGACAGATCCTCAGATTCACATTCCTAAATGAAAGTGATCAATGCTAAAGAGACTTTTAATTTCTACAGTCATATTGAAGCTGTCAGGGTAAAACCAAGAAAACTTTAGTAAAGTATTTAAGTTGCCTGAGCACGGATAAGCAAATAAAACTTGCTCGTTCATAGAGCTATTCTATTTAATATCCACATCCTCTTTTAATTAAGTCAGTAAAATTTTTACACCTAAGAAGAAAAGATCAAAGTACCAACACAACCCTCCCCTCAGAAATTTGTAAATTTTCCCATGTGAACTGGAAAATAATGTGTATTATTTTTGTAAATATCAGAATACTATGCTGGATATATAAAATAAATTTCTTGCAATACTGAATATCCAATATTTCATTCATAGGCTTTTTAATTTACACTGCATATCATACCTTTACTTGCTCCCTAAACTTTTTAATGCCATCACAGAGTGGAAAAATTTGACCAATCTTTAGGCCACATTGTTTCAATAAGTTGTCGCTAGTTGCATCGAACAGCTCCACGGTATATAACTACAAAACAAGTATATAAAAAGACTGAAAATAACCAATATAGAATGTGATGCATTTATTGTCTACAAGGCATACAATTAAATAGCTATTACTGCTTCACAACTTTAATACCTCGTCTTCCTCTAAGATATTTATCACATCTTG